TGGAAAACGATGGATGGGAAATCTTGAGGAGGCCAGGTGAGCCTCCTTCCCGTCGTTTTTCGCTAAATAATAGCCGCTCTCTCGCACAGCGTGCTTTCTTCTTCCTCTCCTCCACCTCCCTCCCCTCGATCTCTCGACTCTCTTCCTACGCTCGCTGGAGAACCGACGATTCTCTTCTGCTTTTACCTCGCTGCTGCGCGCCTCGTTCCTCGCGTCCGATTTACCATCGATACGTACGTGACAATCGACCGTTGAAAAGGAATACGATATACGAATTCTTCTCTTCATCGACGACGAAGCACGTTGACGTCATTGCTTTTCCCTGTGGCGACGCAGATACATTTTTCTTGCGTCCAATGAGTCATCATCACCGATGGCGTATGTTTCCTCGATCGATCGATCAACTGATTTCTTTTCGTGTGAACTAACTTCGCGGAAATAAATACATCTGATGATGGATGAAATATTCACTTGCAATTGTGTACCATGATTATATTAGATGCATTGGCCAACAAACATAGGATAGTTTGTATCATCGTCATTGCAGATAAAACGATCTTCTGTTGTCTCGCAAAAATGGGGGAGATACACGTTGAGAAGGAAAGAGCTGTTGCTCTGGTCACACGCGGGGACCATCATTTCGCAGCCGCCCCTCGGACGTAGGAAATTTTTCGATCCTCTGCGTACCTCGGGCCAATGCGTCCAGAGTACGCATGCTCCGGCCTTCAGAGTGCTAACAGAGAGACTCATGCTCGAAGATACGTCGGCACCAGCCACATCGGTCACGGTTTCTCGCGACAACCGTGTACAACAACCGTGCAATTATCGCCGCCGTTACGACAATTCTGATGATCGTTTTCTCAATCGAAATGTGGCAAACGTTCGCCAAAATTCGACCATTCTATATCTTCTTTCCTATATATATAATTTTCTATATACATTTCTTACTTTTGTCATTTCAAATCGAAATCCGACGATCGTTTTCCAAGTGAAGAAATATTTCAACCCCCTTGGCGTGCGAATGAAACGAAACGAATCAGAGATATCGATCAAAAAGTGACATTTATTTGCAAGATGCCACCAACACTTACGAACAAAATTAACAAAAAAAAAAAAAAAAAAAAAAAGAAAAGCGAACAAACTAATGATTCAACAGTTGCTTACACAGGCAAAACGACGTCATTGAACGCCAAGGGGTTAATATGGAATCACCACATGCCAGTCGTCGACCTGCAGGATAAGAAAATTTGGAAGGTACCTCTCGCCACACGTCGAGGAACGGATTCGAAAAGATCTCGAGTGCGACACAGCAACGTCGAAGGTTAGCGACAGTCGCGGCGTATAACCTCTATCGCGGGATATTTCCGTTTCTAGGAGATAACGGTGGGACAGATTAAAGGGAAAAAGCGGTTGAAATCGCTCTGTAGACAGAGGTAGAGAGAGAGAGAGAGAGAGAGAGAGAGAGAGAGAAAGAGAGAGGTAAGTGTTGGAGACGAGAGGAGGAAGATTTTTTGACCTGTTGGCGAGTAAAACAGGGGGGTGGGGGGAGGGAAGGGAGTGAATCGCAGCTGCGCATCCTTCTTGGTCGTTCTCCAGGCGTGTTCTCTCGGTGTCTGCTGGCCCCGAGAAGTCGGAGGAGACGCGCCTCGCCTCGGCTTATTTCCCTCCTGTGCCAGCTGTGCGGGTCGCCCGCACACAGCCTGCCCTCCTAAGACCATCCACGACAACACCATCCACGTTCTTCACGCGGACGAAGACGGATTCTAATATTGGACGAAGAACGAAGGAACGACTACTCTAGCCGACTAACGGAGAAAGAAGCGAAAACGTGCTCTAGTAGCCGCGACGCGCTTCAGAGAAAGAGAGAGAGAGAGAG